ATTCTGACTTCCTGCTGTGACTGAGCGAGTCGCCGGTCCGTCTGTGGGATCAGGAGAACACGTGTAATCCTGCCACCGAACTCATTTCAGGTTATTTCATAACAGAACAAGTCCGGACAGTTTCCTCCTCAGCTGTGATGAGGCAGACGAGATAATTACAGAGCTGCATCAGCACCAGCAGCTCCGAGGCCTTACATTCCTCCGCTGGTTTCCACCTCGGTGGGTTTGTTTCGCGCTCCGGGGAAGCCCTCTGCTCCTCCCGCCTGGGCAGCCCCGGCTCATAAATCCACAGAGCTGGCTGCACACACACACGCCCACGCAGCCCGAGGGCCGCTGTGATTGGCCGGAGCCGAAAAGGTGACGGGCCGCGATTGGCCGCAGGTGGCCGGGCTCGTTCCTCCAGACTGCAGCTTTAACCGACGGTTTGTGGTCGTTGCTTCACTTTCACCCGCGTCACCTTCACGGCTGCTGCTGCTGCTGCTGTCGAGTCCGTGTTGACATGAACACGCCTCGCTCAGGACGCTCACCTGGTCGTGTCTGAGCAGCTCACACAGGTAGGAAGCTGTGGTTTCAAACTTTCTCCCAAGTTGTAGGAGGTTAAACAGTTATATACCTGCTGCACTGTAAACAACAACAACAAACAAACAAACAAACAAAAGAAATCTGTTTTTTTTAAAAAAGAAAAGAAAAGAGAAAAGAATCCTAAAAATCCGGCAGCAACGTTAACAACAAAATATGTTTAAAATAGTGGAAATAATTAGATAATTGTCATTTTAAGCTGATTTAAATAAAGTAAAACTGTGATTTTATATTTACATGTTGTAAAAGAACACATTACTATTATTTGTAAAAATACAAATAATTCTTCATAGTGTTGGGCTTTTTTTTAATAGTTAATATATAAATTCATACTTTATTTCTGCAATTTTACAAATTATCTGTCATTTAAAAAAAGGAAATCTACAAAATTATATTTTAACAACTTGTCTGCTATTTTTCAGTCCTTATATGCATAAATGCATAATTTTACCTTTAAAAAAATACAGATATCTTTGAAATAATGACATGATTTACAAATACCACAGTTTTTACTTTTTTTATTTTTTTTTTAAGGAATTAATAGTAAATTAATAATTGTTCTCTGTAATTTTAAAACATGTTACCTGTAATTTTTAAGAAAGAAAAAAAAGGAATATATTTTTTTGTTCCAACGCCTGATTTATCTAATTTTTGTTTCAAATCACAACAAATATCTGTGAAATCAAGTAAAACTGTGTAATTTTACCAGCAAATGATTTAAAATAAATTAGTTTTTGTAAAAATACAGTTTTCTTGTGAACAATAACAAAAGTTTTGACGTGTTTTGTTTGTTTGTTTTACATAGTGTAAATAAAGAATTAATACCTTCTTATGTGATTTTAATCATTTTATTTGTATCTTAGCAACAGTTAAAAAATATCCAAAATCCTTAATATTAATCCTTAATATACATCATTTTTTTCTTTTCAAAACAGCAAATATCTTTAAAATAATAATAACTATATATATTCTTTTTTTTCTGATTTCAATGCAGTAAAAATGTGGAATTTTACTGTAAAAACATCAAAGAACAAATAATTATTTGTAAAATACAGTCAATGTGTAAATAAATGCTTTTTTCAGATATAACTGAAAAATTCTGCAAAGCTATTTATATATCAAAAAAATGTTTTGCTGATTTAACCACAGTGAAAAGAGTCTATAGTCACACAGCTGTAAAAGAAAAAAATTTAAATAAAAATACAGATTTTTGATGAGGACATTATTCACACTTTATATATATATATATATATTTACAGTCAAGTAGAAAATTTATATTTTTTTCTATGAATTTCTCTATCAAAAAAAAACACACACACAAAAAGAAACCAGAGAAAAATCTGTAAAGTAGCAGTAAAATATTTTAAAAGCTACTGTTAAAGCAGTTAAATGGGTTCTGTTCGTCGCCTCTGACTCTGTGGTTCTGCTCGGCTCATTGACAGCGTCTTCTGTCATTAACTCGGTTCTTCTAGTCGTCTCTCCGTCCAACAACGTGTCGTCTTTGAAACGTGTGCTTTAAAACACGCTGAGCTGAGAATCTGCAGCAGTTTGAGACGAGACGCTGCTTCGGGGTTTAAAACCGGAGAATCAGCTGCTGTCGGATGGAGTTTGGTTCAGTCCAGAGGAGCTGCAGCGACTCCAACGGGAATCAGATTAAACGTCAGACGTTCCTGATCGACGAGCTGCCGAGGAAAAGTCATGAGTGTGTGTTTTAGAGTGAACAGAGGGAAGAGAAGCAGCAGATGTCTGTCAGGTTCTACCAGAACCCAGACGTGTTCTTCCTCCTAAATGTCGATCTGCTGTACTGATGAAGTTCTGAGGCTCAGAAATGATGGAAAAAGTCCATTAAGGTGATCAATCTGGACCCTCCTCTGTGGACTTCAAGGTTCTGTAACTCTGGAACATTCACAGAAGCATTTTGGACCAAGTCTAAATATGTTTTGGATAAATTTGGAGTTATTTTGGACAGTTTTTGCATAATGTTTTGAGTCTTTTGGTTTTTTAAAAACTCATTTTGAGTAACTTTGGACAAAACTTTGACTCATTCTGGACACGTTTTGGACAGCTTCTGAATGATCTCGGCCACATTTTGGATCATTTTGGACAAATTTGATCCATTTTAGTCGAATGTGTTGAAGGTAAAAACTCTTTAAAGCTTCATTAAATCTAAATCTTGCGTCACTCTGATGATCTCCTTTCAGGTGAGCGTTCTGACCGACCAGGTGGAGGCTCAGGGAGAGAAGATCAGAGATTTGGAAAGTTCTCTGGAGGAGCATCGACAGAAGCTGGCCTCCACCGAGGAGATGCTGCAGCAGGTAACACACAAAACAGCTGCCATCATCTGACTTTTCAGCATCTGTGACACACACAAAAATATTAAATGTGATCAACTCAGCAGCCTCCAGGTTGCTGATCTGTCAAATATGTGTTCAGTGTTGCTGCTTTGAGACGGTTAAAGTCAACAAACTGCATCCAGATGTTCTCTTATTTAGCGGTTGGATTTCTGCGCATCCCAGCTGCTGAACAGGATCTTTATGTAAGCGAGCGGTTTAAAAAGTACCGAGCTGTGACTGTAAACGAGTAAATAAAGGAGCGGCTCTGTGTTTTATCGGGAGGTTCCTCTGATTCACATCTGCGGCGACTTAACAGGCGTCAAAACAAGAAGATTTTAGGCTTAAAGCTGCTCAGATCAGACGGAGTTTACTCCTACAACAGGACCTTTTGGATTTAACATCAGCTTTACATTCCACCGAACCCTCAAACCGTCTGTTCCTGGTTCGGTCCGTCGGTTCTGCAGATTTGCTTGACACAGAAATACAGGAACAGCTGATGCGAGGCCAGAGGAGGAGGAGGAATGTTTGGTTTTCCTTTCTAACACCACGCTGGTGGTCCGCTCGTGTTTGTGTGATTCTGACTGTTCATCACTAACAGGACTTTACAGCCTGATGGATGTCTAACAGAGAATCCAGCTGGAGATCAGGAGGACGTACGAGGAAGTTAACAGGAGACGTTGGTCTGGAGGTGGTTTTAAAGGCAGACGGTGGAATTAAAGCGACTAACGCTGGTATTATAAATGGATAAACTGCTGCATCACGTCTCCTGTAAAGGGATAAAGATAAAGAGGATTGTTGTTAACGTCGGATCAAGTTTGTGTTAAACTGATGCTCCCTGTCAGGTTACAAAAAAGGCCTTGAAGGAGTTATTCAGTAATTTGAACAAAAAATAACAAACGTTTTCTGTAATATATAAGCGTGCAACATTAGTAATGTTAGATTTGTGATAAACTATATGACATCATCTAATCTGCAATAATACAGAAGTTAGCCAGCAGAAGGAAAGTATGTATGAATATCGGTATAAAGACTAACTGACTTTATGTTAAACTAAACACATTACGCTAGATTAGCTTGCTGTAGCACTAGCTAACTAGCTAACTTTATGTTAGATTAATCACATTATGCTATATTAGCTTTCTATAGCTCTAGCTACCCAGCTAACTAGCTGACTTTATGTTAAACTAATTACATTATGCTATAGTAGCTTTCTGTAGCTCTAGCTAACTAGCTAACTTTATGTCAAACTAATTACATTATGCTATATTAGCTTTCTATAGCTCTAGCTACCCAGCTAATGAGCTAACTTTATGTCAACCTAATTACATTATGCTATATTAGCTTGCTATAGCTTTAGCTACCCAGCTAACGAACTGATTTTATGTTAAACTAATCACATTATGCTATATTAACTTGCTGTACCACCAGTTAGCAAGCTTGAATTCTTTGCTACAGGTGCTAGTCATCTATGCTAATTGGTGATTTGACATTTTTTTTTATGTTCTGTATTTAAATGTCAGAGATAAAAAATTGTATTGAAGTTTTACGTTTTGTCCCTAAAGATCAATTCAATCTAAATTAACTGTAATATAAACGTAATAAACTGTCAAACATAATTTCTGCATGTGCTAGCTAACATTTATGCTGCAGTTAGAGTCAGAACAACATTAAAATGTCAAAAATAAAGTTCATCTGATGCATAAGTAAAACATTTTAACAGATTAAAATGATTCCTAAAGTCAGGAGGATTAAAGATTTTACCTTTAGCGTCGTAATAACAAAGACGTAGCCTGCTATCGTTTAATTAACCTCCAAATGTTACAGCAACTTTTAATATAATAAAAATCATAAATCATATAAAGTCATATACGTGCTGCTGTTGACCTGAAAACCCACCACACGGGTCAACCATCGAGTTTGTTCTCATTAACTGCAGACAAACAACGACCACGAGCAATAAATCATGACGTCAGGACGCTAATTGCAGGTCTGTTGATGCCAAACTGTCTGAGCTCCTGCACGAAGCAGAAAAGCTGTAATTCTCTGCCTGAGGTTTAAATCCCGTGATGTTAGCGTGTTGACATGTCATCGTGAACACGCTGACGCTGTGTTTTCTCTGCTGAAGCTTCACCTCGCCGAGCTGCAGACGAACATTACTGTGAACCGTGCAGTGAATCTGGAGGGATTCCAGTCACGGATGAACTTATTGTCGTCACAAACAGCCACAAATTGAACTGTGAAATGGTTTAGTTGTCTCAGAGTCAGTGTCGCACAATATTAAGTATTAAGGCTTTTAACGGACGGACCAATGAGGAAAACATTTACTGCCTTCACAATGAAGAGCTCCACAAAATCAGCATTAATGGTCATTTTACACTCGACCAGGACTGAAAATAGTTGAAATGGAAACTTGATTAAAGCTGAACCCAAAAGTCGAGTCAAAACACTGGATTTAGAGTCAACAGGACGGAGTTTAAGATGCTTGTCATGACTACAAAAGAGTCAAAGTGGTGACTAGCTTCTGGCCAAACAGGACGATATTCATTGTGCGAGTATTGAATGTAAATCAAGTTTTTTTCGTTTACGTTAAAACTGTTCCGATGTCTTCAGTTGCAGAGACCAGTAATCCTTAACCGGGCCAACAAACTGCATTTTAACCCGTCATTAGACATCGTTTTAGCGACGACGGGTGCTGCTAAATGATTCAAAAGTCTTCGTAGACGGCGGTTGATTGACCATCTCAGAATCTGTTGAAGCTGTAGGACTCCAGGACTTCAAGAGGTGTGGACGTCTGAAAGTGGCGTCTCGCTCAATTTTCAATTCGCAAGAGATTCATAGAAAGTTTCCGTTGGGTGAAAAATAATGAAAATGTTGGAATTTCTGCTAAAAAAAAATGGACAGATGTCAGTTTCATATCATTCCTACAACGTTTCAACAGATTCTGAGACGGTCGAACAACCGGAGTCGACACAAACACAGAAAGAAAGTAGGGTTTAGGAATAAACGCTTAAAACCACAACTTTGTTCTTAGAGAGTGCTATTAGTCATGGAATACTTGGACAGAAATACTACTAATATTTTATTATAAAGTGTGATATTACCTCATTATAATCAGCAGCATTACTTTTTCTATTCCAGTCATATCTTAGCTCACCTATTTTATTTCGGTGTTGTGTCGGACTTCTAACTTATCGCTTTTCTACTTACTTAGTTTTTTCCGAGGAAAATCGGGCACGAGAATGTCCTTCAGCATTAATATACCTTATTTCCATTTTACTTTGTCTTGAATAAACCGTTAAAATCCCTAACTTGTGAGAAAGTACTGTTTGGGTGGAACCCTTAAAACTATACCTACCTACAGATCCAGTAGCACCGAATGTGGAGAACTTCTTGATCAAACCGTTAAATCCGTAACTTGTTAGAAAGTATGTTTGGGTGGATCCTTTAAAACTATACCTACCTACATGACCAGTAGTACCTCGTGTGGAAAACTTCTTGAGTAAACCAAAATGTTCTCTTCGACCTCCCACCCCCTGATCAGAATCTGAAACCCGCTACTCCTAGACACGTTGCTGGTGATTCTCTGTTTGGGTGGAACCCTTAAAACTATACCTACCTACATATCTCGTTGTACCTAGTGTGGAGTACTTGTTAATTAAACCGTTAAATCTGTAAGTTGTTAGAAAGTATGTTTGGATGGAACCCTTAAAACTATACCTACCTACAGATCCAGTAGCACTGAATGTGGATTACTTCTTGATCAAACTGTTAAATCCGTAACTTGTTAGAAAGTATGTTTGGGTGGATCCTTTAAAACTATACCTGCCTACAGATCCAGTAGTACCTCGTGTGGAGAACTTCTTGAGTAAACCAAAATGTTCGCTTCGACCTCCCGCCCCCTGATCAGAATCTGAAACCCGCTGACTCCTAAACACGACGCTGATTATTCTCTAAACTCTGAACGTCTCCAGGTTGTTTTTCTTGACGTCAGCGATGAGTCCGACCCACGAGGCCTCCGCTGACAGAAGCAGCCACTGTTTGGATCCTCAGCAGCCTCTTTGTGCTCCTTGTTGTCACCACCGGGGGATAAAAAGCTCCTCAGACCCGAAATAAAAACCCACAAGACTCAGTGACGCGATTCTGCTTTATGCAACCGGCTTTTATGATCCAATAATTATCGCCGTGCGCATCGAAAACACTCAAACCAGAGTTGTTCTGGTGTTCGGCTGGAGATATAAAAAAAGCAGGAATTAGCAGCGGTTTGCTTCCCGGCTGACTAACAGGTGGTTCAGACTGACGGCAGGTCTTTTGTTTTATGGCGTCCGGCTGCAGCTGCTTTGTGTCGGCTTCAGCTGCTGGTCAAACAGCCAGCCGATACGAGCCGATACGAGCCGCTCGGTGACGACGTTGAAGGGAAAAGATAACGGCGGCGTGACGTTTGCGTGTCTTAAATCTCCTCAGTATGTAATTACAAAACCGGTCTGCGGGATTTAAAGGTCGCAGCAGAACATTTACACAGAAACATCCAGCGGTTCTATCTGATCAGATTCCAGTTGTTTAGAAGACAAAAAAAATAAATCCTGAAATCGGATTAGTCCAGTTTCAGTGTAGATCTGGATCAGAACGTTTGAGTAGAGCTGTGATATCTCTCTAAAAAAAAAATCAGGATTATTGCAGCAGAAGGTTTGTTTCAGGCTGGATTTCACAAACGAAGCAAACCAGGTTTTATTAGTGTAGAACTTTATCAGGCGCTCGGGTTGTTCAAAGTCACCTTCACAAGCAAAAGGTACGAGATGAAAGGTACGAGACAGCAGAACGCAAACCAAATAAAGCAGAAGGTAGCTGGAAAGACACTGCAGAGAAGAATTAAAACTGATTCATTAAAACAGCAACAAAAAGATAAAAGAAATAATAAAATAAACTACAGTGACAGTACAGCATTAATAATGTACTGCACATATATAAGTATCGTAGTATTTATA